TGGTACGGGGTGAGGTGTGTGCGGGCTCCGGCGACGAAACCGACGTCGGTCGACGACACACGTGCACGGTTATTCCGACCCGTGAGCGTTGCGTGATTGGAGCGCTGTTGAGCCTGTAAGGTGAATTGCCGTTCTTCGGTCGTGTTGAAGCTGACACTACGCGTACCTCGCGCTAAACACCGTGGCCCAATGCGCGCTCATTACAGACGAGAGCTTAACGATGGTGTGTGCGTGTGGTGTCCACATGTACCAATCTTCAGCAGGGATCTGTCGACTTGGCATGCTGTTATGACTGCTATAGGCTTAAGTACCCTTGGAATTGGCTGGCGCGTTCGTTTCATTTCCGTTAGAAATGCCATTCCGTCTAATTCACTGTTGGCTGGCTGAAATGGCTCAGATTGTGCAGCCAGAGTCGGGCCGGGCCATTGGCGCCGCGCACGGCTCAGGCCAGCCCGCTGCGCAACACCGACCGGTTACGTGCCGCGCCCTGCATGGGCCAACGCGCTTTCTGTGAGCGGGCGTCGCGTCCGTCCACGCTTCCCTGCTCAGGCGGCCAGTACACTACCAATCTTGCCGGCCATTGACGCGAGCGCCTCTGCCCAGTACCACTCTATGTCGGCCATTGACGCGAGCGCCTCTGCCCAGTACCACTCTGTCGCCCGGACGGGGAGCGACTCTGACCCAGTACCACTCTGCCGGCCATTGACGCGAGCGCCCCTAGTACCCCAGTACCACCTGCCGGCCATTGACGCGAGCGCTTGCCCAGTACCACTCTGTCGGCCATTGACGCGAGCGCCTCTGCCCAGTACCACTCTGTCGGCCATTGACGCGAGCGTCCTCTGCCCAGTACCACTCTGTCGGCCATTGACGCGAGCGCCTCTGCCAGTACCACTCTGTCGGCCATTTGACGCGAGCGCCTCTGCCCAGTACCACTCCGTCGGCCATTGACGCGAGCGCCTCTGCCCAGTACCACTCTGCGGCCATTGACGCGAGCGCCTCTGCCCAGTACCACTCGTCGGCCATTGACGCGAGCGCCTCTGCCCAGTACCACTCTGCCGGCCATTGACGCGAGCGCCTCTGCCAGTACCACTCTGCGGCCATTGACGCGAGCGCCTCTGCCCAGTACCACTCTGTCGGCCATTGACGGGAGCGCCTCGCCCAGTACCACTCTGTCGGCCATTGACGCGAGCGCCTCGCCCAGTACCACTCCGTCGGCCATTGACGCGAGCGCCTCTGCCCAGTACCACTCTGTCGGCCACTGACGCGAGCGCTCTGCCCAGTACCACTCTGTCGGCCATTGACGCGAGCGCCTCTGCCCAGTACCACTCTGTCGGCCATTGACGCGAGTCCGCCTCTGCCCAGTACCACTCGTCGGCCACTGACGGGAGCGCCTCTGCCAGTCCACTCTGTCGGCCATTGACGCGAGCGCCTCTGCCCAGAGTACCACTCTGTCGGCCATTGACGCGAGCGCCTCTGCCCAGTACCACTCGTCGGCCATTGACGCGAGCGCCTCTGCCCAGACCACTCGTCGGCCATTGACGCGAGCGCCTCTGCCCAGTACCACTCCGTCGGCCATTGACGCGAGCGCCTCTGCCCAGTACCACTCCGTCGGCCATTGACGGAGCGCCTCTGCCCAGTACCACTCTGTCGGCACATTGACGCGAGCGCCTCTGCCCAGTACCACCCTGTCGGCCATGACGGGAGCGCCTCTGCCGGGGTGGTGTTGACGTTGTGTAGAGTGTTGCTCATCGCTTGCGGCAATGATTGCTGTCGAGGGTTGGCTGTTGTAGTTTGAAGCTGCGTTGCTTGTCATCAGTGTGACGTTTGAAGAATTAATACAGGTTGCAAACTTCTGCCTTTTTGTGGGGTTTATGGAGCAAGCAGTGCAAATTAAAAATGAACAAAATGGAGGTCGCGCGACAAATTTGTTTTTTGCCCTGACCCCAAGCTAATAAAACCTTATCCTTCAAGTTGCCTCTGAACGACACGACTGACGACGGGAGTCACGTTATTGAAATGCTTGCTTGGCGTTGTCTGGGTGGTAGGATGTAATTATTAAGTGTATGCGATAAGATAGATTCCGCCTTCGTCGAAATCCCGGCACTTTGTCATAAAGGAGGCTCGGTGCCTGAGATTTTCGCCGAAGCAGAGAGCAATAAGCCGACCTATTACTACGATATTTCGAAGTAATGGGCAGTCGGCCTGCTTCGTAGTCAGCTCTTAAGCTTTGCTGGGCCGTTCCTGTAAGATACGCCTCTTTCCGCTGGCGAATCCGGTGCCGTCAAGGCACGATGTAAACGGCTTGTGTTCATTTTACAAATATACGTAATTTTGGCCAGACATTACCATGTTATCCCAACGGACGAGTTCTCACCAGGTATGAATGACATCCATGAATCAGAGCCTGAAACAATCCAACCGTGCTCCGACCCTCTGCATGGAGCGGACTAGCAATCAACTGCGAGGCTGCCAGGCTCTCTGTCGCAAGATCAACGGGTGAACGACTTCCATTGAAAACAAGCAGCATAGGAAGTCCAGGCCGGTGGATGAATACGCGTTCAAGCTTTGTATAGCGGAATGTATTCTGGGCAGCGAGCTTTCACAAATGCTTCCGGGATGTGCTGAATACAAGACCTTGTTCATCCTCCAACAGGAAACTCAATTACCCGTCACAGAGAGGTGGATGACTGGCTGGGTGCCCGCAGTTCTTCCAGCACTAACCAGTCCTTTCATTCGATACGCCCTTTCAAATCTCGAGCGGCAGCCGCCGGGCGAGCGGCCCAGAAGGGCCCCTGGGAGCAGCTGGCCAGTTCGCCTGCCCGGTGCCTGGACCGATTGATGGCGGCCTCTCGTGGACCCGCGGCCGCCGGCCGACCGCCAGCCTGATTGATAGCACGCGCCGCGCTAGATCGACTTCAGATTTCTCGCCGCCGCGCCAGATCGACTCCAGATTTCTAGCCGGCGCGCGGGTCGCCTTCTCCGAGCGCAGCGTTCCGTATCCGCCGACATCTGCAGGGCCTCCGGGGATTCTCCGGGTCGCGATCTGAAACTGAATCACACCTGAGCCTTCGTGGTACGCAATCAGCTGCTCGTCGGCCCATTGATGTAAGCCCGTGATCCGACCCGGCTTGCTATGCTTGGAAGTCTTTCCGTGAATGGCCAGAACTTTGCGCCTACTCGAGTGGCACTGAAGCATATTCTCGCTTACTTCCGGGGTTTTCATTTTTAGGGAAGATGGTTCTTGATGCCAGCAAGGGAGGTCTTTAGCTGCGGGCCTTTTGGCGTCATGGTTTATTATGCTGGAAATAGCCGACCTTCAGTATATCACGAGGTAGCTTCCTGGGTGAAGGGAGATATCGAGCAATCATTTGGATATATTATGAGAATACTCCACGTTCCAAAGAGGTGTTCATCAGCCTGCCGGAACAGATAGCCGTCGGCATTGAAGCATGTTTATGAACATGCCGGCCACGTTCAAGCAAGTTAGTTTTACAATCAGCTCAGCGCGTGCTCCTTTTAAGGGCACATACACGGTAAATCTGACTTAACATACCGTTAAATCCCACTTAACACGCACTCTAATCTGGCTTAACATGCACGCTTCATGTGACTTCGACGAAGGGCACAAACAGGTTCGTACTGGGACGACCGAGAAAATGTCGAATTGGCACCGACAGGAAAACTTCAGCCTGGGGCTTCATCCTCATCGCTCGCCGACCTCAGCGTGTGTGTAAAGGCCCCTGCAACACCTCGCCCGATTGGGTGCGAAAGTCGCCGCAGATCCTGCGCGTCGTCAGCTGCTGCGAATCAGAAGTGCCGCTCGGAAGCTTGCGGGCCCCCCAGAGAGCCGCTCAAAACGTTTTATGTGGTGCCTCCTCAGCCCGGAGCACCTGACGACGGCGGAATCTGCTGCGAGTGTCGCGGAGTTCTGCCGTTGTAGACAAGAGGTAGTCCCCAACGTTACGGCGGCGTCCGATCCCCCCCCCCCCCCCCCCCCCATCCGCTATATTCGGTTTGGGCCGGCCCAATATTGTTGCTGGAATATTTCAGAAAAATAGGAGCCTTTGGCATTACACACAGCTTGGTTTGTTGACCATCATTTGATGGTCATGATCACTACTGTAATTAAAGCACTTGGTACTTTATTAATGATGCAGTAATTCAAACACGAATACTGACGTTTGTCGATGTAAAGTGGCTTCATTTGTGTTCTGATATACACATTTGGGAGAAGGCTAGGTGACTGAACCGTTGGCCTGCTCCCTCCCCCCCCCCCCCCCCCCCCCCCAACAAGTTACATAAGTTTCAGGACCTGAGAGGCACCACTTTTCAGCTTTTTTTACACGCGCTTTGGGGCCTACGGACTTCTTATGTGGTATCTCTAGTCCAAAATAGATGACCTCTAGGGAATGCAGTTGATTGTACAGACAGTTTTCAAAGTGGTAGTGGTTCCTTAGAGAAGTGCTGCGAATTTGCGTGAAGCTGAGTTTTTTCCAGATCTTAAGTCGTTTTC